GGGGGGAGGAAACTAAAACAATCAGTGCTGGAGTAAAAATGTGATATTCTAAAGAGAAGTTTTTATCGTGCTGGCAAGTCACCTCCTCATTATAATCGAAGTTTTACGGTTGAATGAAAGAGTTTTGAAGGAGTAAAGATGAACACGACGAAATAACGATCACAAAATGGGAGGAAATAGCAGAATTGACGGACAAACAAAAGAAAAAAAGATTTAGGACCCATCAGTGGCATCTTCCAACAAGCTGTAGCAGAGTTGGAGCAGCCCATCTCAATAATGATCTGAATTATTTCAATGCAGTTTCTTTATATAATGTAGTATCGATCGCATGTGCTTGAGAAATGTTTTGTCAAAATTCAAACTTTAATGTTTAAAAAAAAGCAGAAAAAGATACGTAATGTAGGTACAACTGTTATAAGAATGAAACTGCATTTTTTTTTTCTCTCCTGAAAAATGTTTCTTTCTGGGATTAGAACTAGTGAACAGCTTGCCGATGTATTGCTTTATATGATTTGACCCTTTTTTTGGGGTGTTTCCAGGAAGCCTTACCCCATTGGAAGGACCGGGCAGATATCCTGGCCTTGCTGCGGGCATGCAACTATAACCCAGACGAGTGTATTGGCACCTACCTCATGCTGGAGGGAGATGGTGAGCTGCGGAATCGACTTATATTGTTTCATAATGTGTTTCTTTAGGCCTATTGTAGGATTGTAGGTCTTTTGTATTGAGGGTTCTCTTATTTGTGGGTTGGCTAAGCTCTTTTCTGTTTCGAGTTAATTCAGATGGAAAATTGTGTTTTTTCATCTGCCAAAGACAAGAAAGTACTTCTCCTCAGTGTTTGTGTGGATTTCTCTTCTTTTTTTTAGATTCCTTTTAAAAAAGAATTAGATTACTGTCATGCATTATGTTATCTTTAACAGTCCGGAGACAGTAGAGATTAAAATCATGAATGATTTACTCATTCGGAAAGTGAAATTTAGTATTTCCCTTTCAGGAATAAGTATTTGAATTCCTAGAACGTTAACGTCTCAATGAAGGTTAAATGTTCGCTTTTGGAAACTAATATTTTGCGATTGTAGTGATATGTGAAAGTTTGATTTCTATGACATAACCTTCTATTGTTCATTGGCTGCAACTGAACTGACAGTGAGTGAGTAGAGACATGTTCTCGGCATGGAGTTTATTGATGTACTGAATGGTCACAATGTAGTTTTTTTTTGGTCATGAAAGATAAAGCAAGGGAAAGTGAACCATCTTCCCTACCCACACAGACATAAATTCTCTCTCTCTCTCTCTCTCTCTCTCTCTCTCTCTCTCTCTCTCTCTCTCTCTCTCTCTCTCTCTCTCTCTCTCTCTCTCTCTCTCTCTCTCTCTTTTCTCTCTCTCTCTCACACACACACATGCACACACACACACACACACACACACATGTACACACACACACACATGTACACACACATACATGCAAACACACGAATGTACACGCACGCACATAGGCCTACATATGCATACGCACACACTCACACGCGCGCATGGGCATACCCATACATGCACACACACGCATGCACACGTGCACACACACATGTACATACGCGCACACCCATGCACGCACACACACACACACACACACACACACACACACACACACATACAAACATGCACATACACATATCCACACACACACAGCCATTAATACAAAAATGCTCATTGTGACACAGAAACACTACGAACACATCCATACACCATCATCTGAACTCCCTTTCTGAATCTCACCTACAGATTCATCTGAACTCTCTCATTTCATACGAACTTTGAAATTTGTACCCAGACCCTCACGTATAATTATCCTGTATAAATCGTCAAACCTGTTCTGATGAATGGAGAGAAGATAAAGACAACACTATGTAGAGGCTATTTGAAGAATTTGACTCGAATTTAATAAGAGTGGGTGGTTGGCGGGTGCTCTGGTGTGGTTTGATCCCTCTTTCCTATCAAACATCGATCGACCTTATCACTCCTCCTTTATGTGTATGTTACTCTCTTGTAACACATCTATTCTTGGGCACTTATATGACCTTATTGTGTTGCAAGTGCCGTAAAACTCTTACTAAAACTAAGAATCTAATTAGTATTGGCTTAACTTCACTATCACGTCCGTAGTCTAGTGGTTACGTCACAGGACTCGTAATGGTGAGATTGCAGGTTTGGGGGTTTGAGGCTCAGCTCTGCCCGACGTTGTATCCTTGGGAAAGGCACTTTACACGAATTTTCCTATTTAGTTCTGTCCTATAGAAGATGTAAGCCTACGTTAAGTTCGGAGACCCCTCTTAAATAATCTTACAGTGTTGAAAGGGGTCTTAAACCTCTACAATTTTGGCACTTTTTATTTTAGTTTACCTTTCTATTGATATAAAATATTATTATAATATTGCCCATGGTACCGACTGCAAGTTTATCCTGACAAAATTCTGTGAGCACAGCTTCTGTCTCATTCTTTGGGAACACTGAGAATATTTTTAAAAGGACGTGATCACTGAAATTTTTATGGAGACAGGCTTGAAAATCATGAGGGTTGGATGAATGCGAAATGGGAACCTGCCCAATCGAACAAAAACGTAGCCAAAAACCAGCCGCGTACATGAAGGATCGGGGTTTCGAGGCTCAGGTCAGCCCGATGTTGCTTCCTTGGGAACTGTACGCAAATTTTCCTCTCTTCACCAAAGTGGAAATGGATACCCTGCTGTAGACAGCGAAAGATCTTTTCAGTTTGTACGTTAGTGTTTTAGTGCTTTATCCTCTACTTTAGTACTTGCACAGTATGCTTTCAGGGAAGCCTAAAATGTTTCTGTGTGTTCTAGGGTCTGCTGGGGGTAATAATAGTTTATGTAAAGCGCAAAGAGCATGCCGAGGAGCATGTGTATGCGCTATATAAATGCAACTGTTATTAGCTTGATGGGTACTTACTATTATAGAAATGGCTATTACAACCCTTGAAACGAGTTGTTCCTTGGTAAGGTGTTTGAAATTGTAACATCCCATGTATAGCACAACATTTTGGAATGACTGCACCGAGTTGGAGTTTGAAATCACAAGTCCCCATCTCCCTCCCTTGACCTCTTCCCTCCCTCACTGTTGTCTTTGATCCACCTCATCCATCATATCTATAAGACCTGCAAATGCGAACATGTGTTTGATTACCTGGGTATTGTAGTAAAATTGTGGATAAGGTTAACGGTTCGATGCTTTATTGTTTTTATCAAAATATATTTCTTTCATATTTCAGAGGCTGGTATGATTTCGACATAAACGTTTCTTAGAGGTTTTCTCTGCTGCAATAAAATGCTTTTTCTTTTTGTTTTTCTCTTTTCACTTTCGCTCTCTGGTGAACGAATTTTCTCTTTCTGTCATTCTTATGGTTTTATAAAAGCGTCTAGGGGGTTATCCTATTAATGTTTCAGATGAATGATATCTTACTTCTTTATAATCCTTTTCAATCTGACATTCTGTTAAAAAAGTGTGAAATCTGTAATGTTGTCAATGAACCTTTGTCACCCCTGAGGACTAACTGATCCTGATCTATCTTTATCGTAAGAATGTAATTAAGGGAAAGGGATATTGTCCATGATACCTTCACTAGCTTCGCTTGTGATATTTTTCTTTTCTTCAAAAAAAAAAAAGAAGAAAAACTATAAACTATAGTAGCATGCTAGCACGCTTTCTTCTAGGAGACACTGTAAAGGTGTTTCTGGTCTTTTAAATGGCATATATATATATATATATATATATATATATATATATATACGGTACATTCTATGGCGATAATATCGTTTACTGACGATGAGAAGAAGAAGAATGACTTTGTTATGGTGCTGTTTAATTACGATGATGACATAGGAGGAGATAATGATGTCAGTAATATTTGGGAATTTTGGAGATTATGTTCTTCAGAAAAGAAATCTTCTTGCAGAAAAAAAAATCATTGGGTAGACCTACAAACTTCTGAGATCCCTCTAAAACTGTCTTTATTCTTATTAACAAGACTCTTTACAACCCGTGGCTAGTCCCTTTCTTACAACTCTATACTTACCACACCACTGTTCCTAAAGCCATACGGGCGAAACGTTGGACGTCTTTTTAACTACCACAGATTTGTTTTAACCTTATCCAAGTCTTCAATTCTTTTTATACTCTTCTACAATACTGGGTAATGGTGATCATATTAACTGAAGGTCATAATTGAAAGTCGGATGAGGAGACTACAATTAAGTGCTCTTGGCTTTCTGTTATGTAAAGAGTCATGTACAATGATAATAATAAAGCCAGATGTCCTCAAAAGCCTCTTATCATTTTGATATTGGCGTTATTTAATGGAAAGTTTACTACTTTGCAGTATTCTTTTCTTTCATGGAAAATTGATGCTGTTTCTATGCGCATGGCAAGTCGTTTTCTGTCCAAACTATTAGGAAAGCGATTTATATCGTCACTAATGACTTGAAATATTATGATGGTAAACAGCAAAATGATCTCGTTGGGACAACTGTCAAAGTTTGAGTTTTTCACAATTTGTTACGTTTACTAATCTGTTGCATTACTGAAGGAAATGTATGATATATTTTGACTTATACTTTTTTCCTTCGTCACAATGTCCATAATTTGTAGCCACCTTGTCATAGTATTGTCCCAGTCAGCACAGCACAGTGAAAGTACAACTGATAGATTCTGTTTTTTCACAGCGGCTGCTACAAATTTCTCATGAACACATGCCTCAAAAGTACAGAATTATACTTAATATCTTTAAATGTGTGGCTTTTTAGAACACAGTAGAGTATGTTGTTTTTCCTAAAGACATTGGAGCAAATATAGTGTTTTATTAGTTAGCGTATTCAATTATTTCATTGATTGGTTGATTTTTGTTTGTGTTGGAGTCTTCTGATACAATACGTTCATAATTTGTAGAAAACAAGGCAAGAGGGAAAATGCATACAAATTGCTCGCATGTTGTGAATACAGGAGACTATGTTCACAATTAATTATATTTAAATATTTTCAGATACATAATGGTGCTCAGAAATTGAAAGGGAAGGCGAGGAAAAGATTTTTATAATAGAATTGATATTTTTATCAGACATCTTGGAATGATCCATAGAACAAAGTTCTCTGCATAATGCTTGCATTTCTGACTTTGATTTTCATTTCTCCTCAGACTGGCTGAAACCACAAAGGACATCCAAGGAAGCCAAAGCTGATGAAGACAAAGACACAAGAATTGAGGAACTCACTGAAAAGTTGAAGAAACTGGTGAAGAGAATTTGCCTACAACGTCTAAGCTACCAGGCTAATGATAATGTCGTTTATCAGTGTCCAAACCCTATGCTTCATTATTTGGAGACAGAGGCCTGGACATGATAATTGATTGCTCCTTCTATTTCTTATAATTTGTATCATTATCATTGTCTGTTCCTGTCTAGATCTTGTAATTATTGTGCTTATTCACCATAAACTACAAATCAGATACAACTGGAACCTCATCATAAGCTAAAACAAATCAGCTTGGGTTTTTTCTGAAATCAGTGGTGTGATCATTGTCAACTTTTGCAGTGTCTTGCTTTTCAAGATGTTTTAAGTTTCAGTTGAGGTGTACCTTGAATTTCTAAATGGCTTTAGATATCATCATGTAGAGAAATGTTAGTGTGAACCCAGAAATAATTTTTTATCATGGACGTTTCTCATACTTCACCTATAAGCTCACTTAGTTCTTAGTGTATTTGGGATTTCAACTGCTGTCTGTTGGAACTGAGTGTGGAGTTGTCAGTTTTACTGATTAGACACCTCAGGTGCTCTGAAAATATAAAAACACTGACAAACCGTGGAGTATGTAGGCTTTCTCTGAGAAGATAGAGTGGCTGTTTATTTTTTCATTAATAAATTTCCTGTTTTATTTCCAAATTCTATAGGAAAGAGAATTGGAAACTGAGAAGAAACAGAGAGCTGAAGCGGAAAAGCAGGTATGTGTCGAAAGATAGCAATCACTCTAAAGAGTATTTTGATTTCCATGGTAATAGAGCTCATGCGTTATGGAAGCTATTTCAGTCATATTCAATAATTGTTGTTGTAACCATTTTACCGCTTATTTTGCTCAAAATCTACATTGACAGCTGTGTGTTTCTAAAAGACTTTATGCAAAAGCTGAAGATTTTTTGGTTACACGTTCTGTTATTTTCCTGAAAAGCCAAGTATAGAGGATGATATTATAATATATACAAAATAATATTAATGAACAAGATTTTGACCTTTTTCTTCACCTGTTTCTGTTTGCTTTTGGGGTTGTTAGTTGTTTTTTTTAGCATAACACGTCCTGGTGACCTTATCAAACTTACAATTAAAAATTCTGTGAATAAATTGTTTGGGAAAACAGAAAGGAAAATTTCAATTCCTAGATCTTGACATATTGACACATATTCATACTTGTATTCTAGTCACATGCCCTTGGAAGCAGGTTTTTAATTTTCCTATTTGAAGTTCCCTGAGATTAAAATTTCTTTTATTCTCCTTTTTAATCTATTGCTTGATGTCACAAGTATGGTGAATCCTGTCTTCCATACATATTTCGTAACACTTTAACAAATTAAAAACTAAAGAGAGTTCAATAATCAAGTGAAGAACAATTTTGCTACACTTTACTTGTTATATAAGAGATATGCACTAGCACAATCAGTAGAAAGACCCTCAATGACTTTTTGGAGAGAGCAACGGAGCATCAATGGACATGTCCAGAATGCAGGGATGTTGCTTCCTGCAACAATGAGCAATGAATGTTATATAAGACTGACATGATATTTTGTATTTGCCAGACAGTCGTCAGTCTGTTTATTTGCAGGTCTAGTGCATTTGTTATAACGGTATTTGTTTCCCTCAGCTGTCAGATCTAGAGGAGAAATATGGCAATATCTCTGCGGAGGCTACATCCGCTCAGCGTCAAATGGAGGCCATGCAGCAGTCGCGACCAAAAACAGCCCGACCCAAAACACCGGTGTGTTATTGAATTAAATTTTTTCATGAGATAGCACTTTCATGAGATTGTACTTTCATAAGATTGCACTTTCATGAGATTGCACCTTTTTTAGTGTGCGCGAAAGTATAATAAAACGTTGATTAATAATCTTAAATATTCTTTTTCTAGATTTTGTTTTGGTGGGGTGAGGGGGGG